CCTTCTATACTCTTATACCTTTGAAAAGAGTGGAACATACTCTATTTAGCAAGGATGGTATGCAATAAAATAGCAGTTTAGTGTAACAACTGTATGGGTATGAAAATTATAGCTGCATTATTGATTTCTACGTCAAAATGTACTAAACTTTTTCCTTTGCAATTTTTGAATATCCTTTCAATATCCAATGAAACTATTCGCAACTACAAAAAGTCAATTTTGTTTTTTTTTGTTGATCAATAGAATTTTGATTCAGATTGGGCCCTGAAAAAGCGAGAGTGAAAAGAGTAGTTTTACTCCACAAGTAAACTCAACGCATATACGTACAATAAAGGAGAATCTGTACAACGCTACATTTACATTTTTACTGTTTCACAAAGACCCTCAGTAGTTTCCATGAATTGTCTCAAGAGCGTTTCCAACATGTCATAATTTTGGCTTGATGTGACTTTAACTGTTGTTAGCCTCGCGGGATTGTGCATCGTTAAGGACGTTGTTATGGACTTGTTAGGGCTTAATGCACCAACTTTTAGGGGCTGTAGAAATTTTGCTTTAACGAGACTTTAAAATATAATGAACGTTTTTAATACAATTAAGCACATTTTGATGTTAAGAGAGGGGTTGCTAAAATTGCTGGCTGTCAATTGATATTTTAGTGTCGAACAGGAGTTTATTTGCACTCTTCGGTTACTGTAATTTTTTTTACTTGAAGCATTTGCGTAATGGATACTTGCCATTATAGGTCAGCGCCTCTGCACCAGTGTAAAGCACTATTGGCGAACAGAGAGCAATGAACATTAAAATGTAAGTACATTATACAGTTGAGACAAATAACGCAAATGGTCTGGAAATGACACCACGACTGAGTAATTAAAGGCATTATGAACATACTTTTACCCACATTTCTTTTGAAATATTATATGCCATAAGTAATATTCTCGCCAGGACTGATTACCGTTACGGAATAACATACAATGGTATATTAATATGAAAAATATAAGTAAAATTATTTCCATAATTTTGTTGATGAAGTACTCCATTTTATGTTTGAGTTAGATATAGAGAAATTAAAATTGAAAATTGACACTCAAAATTTGTTATATTTTTTATTTCTAAAGGCGATCGATTTCGACGTGCCTGATGATGACGTGGTACGTCGAAATGGATCGCCTTTAGAAATAAAAAATTTTGAGTCTCCATTTTCAATTTTAATTTCTCTATTTCGAAGTCATTAAGGACTGTTATTCGATTTTTCTATCAACAGTTACAGTCGCCATAGTAAAATTGGTGCATTAACAAATTCTAGATGTAAAAATCTACGAAAAATCGTCACGTAAAACGCCATTCTCCCGATATTCACATTTACTATTTTATTTTAACTGAAATCGAGAGATTTTGTTGTTGAAAAACGATCAAAAAAATTTGGAGCAAAATATTGACATTTACATCCGCTGTAAGCACTTTAAAATCAACAAACAACACCATGACCTGCCCTGTACTTATAATTTGAAGCGGGTCATTGTAATTAAAATAAGAGCTAGTTAAATACGTCTAAAGTAATTGAATATTAAATGAAAAAAAAAGCTTATGATAGTGCGGAGTATTTAAACTATTCATCGTTGTAAGATAAAGCGTTTACTGAGTCAGATTTCAAAGGCTATATGTACCTCTATAAGTATGAGTGTAAATAGTGGGAAAGCGGCATTCTTCATCGCCATTACATTGTGCCAAATCTGCGCTGGTCAGTTTCGCAAAGCGTGTGGCGCAATCTTAATCCAATCGTCAATTAGGTGCACCCCGACATATTAAAGGTTAAGACAAGAGTCATTATCATATCACTATCGAGCTACCGTCAAGTTGCGGACGGAGATTTTCTGTATTTAAATCCTTGTCTGAGGAAGTCCCGCGTAATCTCAGTTGGGGGATGGCTGCGTGATTGGTTAGATGATTCTCCAATAACACAGCGATGATTTTGTAATCGGTCCGTGTAGAGCACAGGTCAATTTCAATTTCAAATCGAAGAAACGATCTCAGCTGTTCAAAAGTGGTGGATGGCAATAAAACTATATTTACAACAATGAACTATTACACTATAGATACATATTATAAGTTATAACAATATGTACAGGATTGACGAATGGGCAGGATGGTGCCTAGTCCGACTGCCAGTGGTGGAAAAATTCCAAATTTATAACCTTAGGAGCTTGCGAAGGGAAAAAGGCTTGCCCAACTCAAGTCGTTTGATGTAGGGTTTCAAGCCTGCTTATAAAGTCAACCCTTCTGTGGCGTCTGGCACTGCAGCCAATGCCTGTGTCGCAATCCCTTTTTGTACATCTGTAACGTCGATAACACAGCATGAACTCGGTAGTCGGTCCCCGCAGAGCACAGCTGGACTTGGATGGACCATGATCAGAACGCATCTAAACTCCTGGTGCACACCCATAGTGGTTTTTATGAACTATTGTTCTAACGCGTTGTAGTATTGCCGCTTACCGTTGTGTTACCATTTGTTGTTGTTTGCCTTGTCGTATATTTGGACTATCGTCATAGACCATTTCTATAATTACAAACTAGCGAAGAGAATTTATTGCTCAAGCGCTATTAATTTAATGTTGTATACTTATATAAAGCCGATGTAACCACCTACTGTTTTACATCAAGTTGGTGTTGGTGGACATCGAGTGAAGTAAAATTTAGACTCGCATCTGAAATTTCTTAATATATTAACGTATAGTTCCCTTTATTGTTATTATACAGGGTGTTTATAAAAATACAATTAATTTTCTTGTACCTAACACATGACGGTGATTCATTGTACATGCGAACTAATATCGTTTAACGATTTACTTTACAGGGCTGTTTCGCCTCGACCCCGTTTACTTACATATAGCTTTCCATCCCCAAATCATCCACTTCTGGAATATCTGAATAAGTAGCATTTTAATTGTGATAGATCCTTTGGAGTTTCTCCCTTTTCATTTAGAGAATAGTATTACAACATTTTACTTCGAGTTTTACTTCCGATATTCAAACACAATGGTACAGAAGACAAAAAGAGAAAAGAAAAACGGCATTGCTCTGTTTCATGATATTAACATTCAAATGTGATTTTAAGTAAATGCCAAAAGGATTCTTTATTTAGATAAATTACACTTTCCCTTTTTTTCTCTTGGACATAGTACTAATAAAATTATTAACTCACTTATCGTTGACGTACATATATTCGCATTCTATTCGCGATTTTAATTTAAAAACCAGAACAACAAATAGGTAAAAACAGAGTTTTACGGCTACAATTTCATTTTTAGCTTCAACTCCAATTAAACGGATTGTTAACTACGTGCGGCACTTTCCCGCTGCGACCATAATCCAACCTGTGCGAAACTCCAAGCTTTTAATTTATTATTTATTTAAAAGCGTACTTTCAGCTTTTAGTGTTAATAATAAATTCCGAGCTGTTTGTGTATTACGCTTTCGAGGGGAGTCACATACGGCTAATAGGTAAGGCGTGTTAAGTTGTTATTTCTAAAAACTAAAAGAAAATAAGTGACCTAAAAGAAGTATCATGAAGAATTTCTTATAATCTTGATTTTGATCTTGTGCACTGATATAAACTCGTAATGGCACAAAATGTTTAGGGGACCGAGCTAGATATTTAAAACGTGATATTCTGTGAAAACAAAAAGAGCAACACTACATTTTGTTCTTGGGCATTGAGGCGATGTATTCGTCTCTTTTCGTGACCAAAGCTAATAATTTAGGTAATAGGTACTAATTTATAGGGTACCATCTTGGGTTTGTTAACTGGAAATTTCGTTTATTGGCAACATCAATATATAGGGTGTTACATATCAGTATGTACAAAAAATTGGGTGGTAGAGGGGATGAAAACAAGCACATTTTCCAAATAAACTGAGTACAACGTATTTCGTTTGAGAGCCACCCTAAAAAAGTCGTGAAATTTGCATTTCTTCTTCAACTTTTTTCTCATCAATCATAAGAGTTAAAAAGACTGGCGACACGTCTTTGAATAGTTTTCGAATATGCCCTTTCCGAATTAGCAACATTTTTTTAAAAATTCTTGCCACGAATGGGGGTGCGAAAAAAAATTTTGATTTCGACGAAATTTGGTATCTGGGGGTTTTTGAACATGAAAATCTCGAATTTAAAATTAGTTTTTGAGAATTCGAAAAAATTTTTATTGTAATTCTTGGCCGGACAACGAAAATGGAAAGAATTCCACGAAATTTGTTGCACACACACTTGATGAGTTAAGGAACAAAATTCCCAAACAGTTTTTCAAAATTACTTTTCAAACTAAAGTTAAACTCATTTTAAGATTAGTCCTTCGGGTCACAAAGTGTCCCCCGCCTACTAGTGAGTGATCTAATTTCGCATGTAGTTAATTGAAAATGTTGCAAATAAAAAAAATAACGATTTAAGTCGATATTATGATTAAATCCATTTAGGGGTGTGCCCGGAAATAGCATACCCGAAAACTCTTATGGTTGCGGAGAATAAATAAAGAAGAAATGTAAATTTCATCACTTTTTTTAGGGTGGTTCCCAAACGAAATACGTTGGATCCTCGGTTTATTTTGGAAAAGTGCTTGTTTTGATCCCATCTACCATCTAATTTTTGTTTACATACTTATATGTAACACCCTGTATAATATGTACATCAGACTGACGTATAATAGTCAATGCTTATTAGTAAAGTTAGTCGGTCAGCTATTAGATATGCAGGGTTGGACTACACTGAAACGTGTTAAATCCATAGCTACTGAAAACACGGAACAAAACAAGAATTACCTTGGGGTGTACTCGACGACGAGCGACAAAGAAAACAACTGATTGTTTCTAATTGTGGCGCTAATTAGGAAGCGGATTTTAACTGGTATAATGAAAACTTTAATGTCGCAATTATTTACAGTTGTTCCAATTAGATTTCCTACACATTATTTATTGTTTCGATTACATGTTTTACGTTAACATATTATACTTCAAGTTGGTGGTTCTAAATTGAGGATTGAGTTTTGTGTTCATTACGTGGATGTAATCTATTTTTAAGCGGTAAGGGTTGCTATCGAGATCCGAGTGTAGATGTAAATCTGCGACAGTTTAATGCATTTTCAGGTCCACAAAATGAACAAGTTTTGGAAACATCGTGGGTGTTCATAAATAATGGATCATCTTCAATTCGTTAGATGCATTTTGGTACTGAGTTAATGATACGCGCCGAAGAAATTTTTAAAGCAATCCTTTGTTTAAGGATTATGCCTCGATTGATTTTAAATTTATTAACGCATTTGGCTATTAAGACCGTTTATATCATCTGTTTACCATAATGTCATAAAGTTAGGATATAGTTTACTTTCAAAATACCATGATAAAGTGCAAGGCGCCAGTGAATGACCTAATACGACATTATTGGCATTACATCCATAAACAGTGTGTACCTGGTACATACATAACTTTATACATCTTCATTTTATAGCATATGTTGAAATGACATTTTATTTTATAGCAAATTGACATGTTAGTAGGTTTGAATGAGTAGGCTAAGCCATTATTTAACCGTAAGGATAGATAAAGTGATCACTTTAACCGTAAGGGTTTCAGAGTAATTGGTTCGTCCGCGTCATTTTGAGCGAGGGTCTTTGATCCCGAAAAGTGTAATTGAAGTAAAAACTCCAAGGCCTTCTTTGCGGTCTTTGTGTAACCCCCCTCAATTTTCTTCAAGGAACCGATTTTACCTTCTGTTCTTTTTTGTGAGGCTCTTTGGAGTCTGTCCCCTTTTAGAATTTGTTCAATTTCGTGGCAATCTCTCTTCCACGAGTCATGTTTTGCCTTTCTTATGGCTTTATTGTATTCGGTGAATGTAGTTCGGTATGAACCCCAACCCCCGTGTTTTTTGCTTTATTAAAAAGCTTCCTAGTCTATGCCCGCAATCGAGAGAGTCTCTCGTGCCACCAGGGCACTTTTGGCACCTTTGATGTTCATGCGAAGGTCCATGACCTGCAGTTCCGCAGAGTTATTGATTCCTTGACAGTTCTCGAGATTGACATCTATGGTTTTCCCTATAGAGAGTAATTGTTAGTCTACGTCGTTTCCTTCATTATCATTTGGCACTACTCTCGTCGGATATCCCACATTTAAGTTTAAAACGCTATAGCATCCTACATAGTGCATATACCCGTCCAAAATTCCACCATCTATCCTTTGCGTGTTGACAACATTCTAGTTTCCAGAATCTAACCATAACAGTAGAGAAACGATAAACTGTGAAAGTATAACACTCATCTTACACAATTTCTACTACATTTTGTGAAAATATCTCTCCTCACGAGACCTGTACATAACCGTTCCGTGTCGTCGTCGACAGAATAAGAACATCAAGCAGAAATTCCTACAAAATTACACCTTTCCCTGTAGTATCACCCTCGATCGTAAATCACGGTAGCTGAAAGGTAAAAATTAATACGGAGAGAATAAGGTTGACAATTTCTTATTGATCCTCCAACACAGGCCGGCAATATATTGTACTTGGAGGGAATTGATCAATAACGGCGGTCCTCTATTCCTTTTCATAATTGTAAAACTACCAACACTGTGCACTTTACAATAAGCTTTTGTTCGCCGCATAAAAATTACGCAGAAAAGTACGTGAGAATTATCTAAATTACACCCCACTGCACAATTCTATGATCCATAAATTCCACGCGGAAGTGTGGGGGTTATATGTCTGCAACATAAAATTCTTGGGAATGTCCATATAAAAATGCAGCTAACACTTCTCTTTTTATTTTTCTGTAGATGGATATAAGGAATGTCTGGAAAGTCTCGCCTGAGTGTGAGAAAAAAGGAATTTCCACTTTAAAAAGATGTAAAGGGAAGTTTTATGTTCGAGACGGCGAACATTTAGAAAAGAGAAAATTATAAGCGTATATTTAAAAAAAACCATTCTTCCCTTGCATCATTACGTTAATAGCTTAAAAATAAAACGCCTTTGTCTATTTATCTACCATACATTCTGAGTAAATTTGGAAAAATTTATTTACGTCTGTTCAAAATTGTAATGTTAGTAAAGTGAACCTTCTTTAGTGCTTTTCTATCCCACCTTTTTTTAACATCTCGATCAAATATAACGTCTTTATAACAGTGTCACAGGCATCAATAAATATGTTTCTTTCTTTTCGTGCAAATTAGGAACGGCATTTACAAATCTTGACTTGACTGGTGTTCGAAATAAGCGATATTACATCATTTTATTTGATACTCGATTTGATATTGGTGTTGGTATAAAAACGATTTATTTTAAAATGACAATTACAGTGCGTAACACTACTTCCTGCTCCCGGCACATTCCAGTTTCCCTTTGAAGGTCATCTCAGTATGGACAGGCAACTCCTTCCCGACATCGTATAGGTATTACCATTGAGTACCTAATGTATTACTTTGAAGGAATAGCAATCGACGGTCTTCCGGAGTTCCGCGAACTCTCCACGCCTAAAACTGCATACCAAAACTTGGACGCCCATATGTCCTTCAAAATGACTTCTATCATGTTGCGGTTTAACTCATCCAGTCCACAGCCGATCATAGGTAACGCATTTTTATGGATCCTATCAACTACAAGTTAAATCCTTAGTGATTGTAGAACAAACCTGGATTTTTCGATGTTATTACGTACCATGTCTCGAATTTCATCCATCTTCCGACGAACGTTGCTCATATACTCATCAACGGCGATGCGCTCCCTTGGCTTGTATCCAAATTTCAGGTCACATGGAAAACGTCCTGAAATATCAAAGCCTCCAAATTCCTCCCTTGGTCCAAATGAATTTCATGTTGAGCTCTAAATCGACAAATCCATTCCTTCACAAGAACGTCCACGACGGTAGACGCTTCTTGGTTTGGCAAAGTGTAGGCTTCTAACCATTTGCTGAAGTAATCCATCGCAACCTTAATGTACTTGTGTCCTCCATCAATTTCTAACTTCTAACATTGTATTGTTGCATGGGATGCTTTCGGAAGTCGCTGCTGACCATTGCTTGCCGCGCAAACAATACACTTGCGGCACCATTCTGCTACACCATCTTTGAGATTGACCCAGTAAAATATTTCCTGTACTTTATCCTTTTAAGTCCCAAGTGCCCACCGACCGTCCTATCAAGTAGCTTCCTCAGTATTTCTGTAACTTTCTTTCTGGGAACCAAGAGCTGTTTTTTTTCCTGGCGACAATATTCCGAGGGGTTGGTCACGACTTATTTTAGGGGACAAAAATTTCCTTTATTGCCTAACAATTGGCACCATTTTCCTTGATGGCCCCAACATTTCCTTTACATTTTCTCGGAGTTTCCTCTTATTCCCCCAAAATTTCCATATATTTCCCCAGAATTTCGTCTAATTTTGTCAATTTCCTACGTACTACATTTTCCTCGAATTTGTTATATGAAGGACAAGATTTCTTTTAAGAAGAAAATAAAAATGGCCACCATTTCCTTCCTTAATTTTCCCAACAGGCCCAGTATTGCATTAAAATTTACGTAAAATTTCTCCAAATTAACTTGAAATGAGTAACGTTATTTTCTTATTTCCTTAAAATTTCCTAATATTTACCTAGAATTCCCTCATTCCCTTGACAATTTCTCCTATTCCCCTAAAATTCCTAATATATATAATCCTATACTTCCATTTTCTACATATTTCCCTGCTATTTCCTCGAAATTTCCTATATGAGAGACAGGAATATTGTCCTCGGGATTGATCACGACTTATTTTAGGGGACAAATATTTTCTTTATTGCCTAAAAATTGCTAACATTTCACTTTATTTTGTCTAATTTTGTCCATTTCCTACAGATTTCCTCGAAATTTTTTATATGAGGGATAAGAATTTCCCTCACTTATTTTAAGGGACAAAGATTTTCTTCATCGACTAAAAATTGCCACCATTCCCGTTAATTTTCCCAACATTTCCGAATTGCATTAAAATTTCGTACCATCCTTATAGAAACCTTTTATTTCCTTAAAATATCCTCTAGCTTTCCTCATAATTTCCTCTAGATTTGTCTGCTTCTTCCCTCCTCCTATCCTCCAGGCGTAATTCCTTGTCGCGGCCATCCCACTTGTTAGTTTGGTTTTCTGTAGGTTGGCTACATTTATTCCCTGTTTTCTTAATTCGTCGTCGATTAGCTCCCTTTTCTTTAGGTCGTTTGTCCCTTGTGCGTTTCACGTGGCTACCCTCATGCTGTTGTTCCGCTTCTCCTCGGCGTGGCACTCCTTGATAGCACCCTCAGACTATATTCGTTAGGGACGGCGGCTCCTCTCGCAAGTATCCTTGTTCTCGTAAGTTTCTCCTCTTCTTCTACCTCACCTATCATGTTTACTGCTCTCAATACGCTGTCGTAGTGGTTCCGAACATTGTTACTCCTTAGTCTGTATGCTATCTAGCAGTGACCAGTGGTCCCCGTTATAGCTCGCGGTCCTATGATATGTTTCAACCCCTTCATCTTCGTAAACCACTGTGTGGCTGTTGTATGTGTTTGCCGCTGCCACCAGTCACTCGTAGCCTCCCCAGATCCTGCCTTCGGTGATCCCTGAGATAAGCTTCGACATTCTCGTCATTATCGGTAAATTGATCATACCCGGATCGTAATTCCACTACGTTCCCTATCAGTTGTGGGTGGAATTCTTCCAGATTCTTTCTGATGTATGGGTTGGTTTCTTCCCTAATCCTTTTGGTTAAGCCCTTGTGTGCTTCTGATGACACCGGGAATCCCCTATGTTGGTGTGCCCAATCGCTTCAAACGGGCCAACCCATCCTTATTTATCATGACGCATTCTATGATGTACTCGTTTGTGCGCATTTCTTCCATCCCCTTCTATTCTATCTTTTCCCCTTTAATTCAATTTAATTTTAGCCTTAATCCTAGGTATCAAGTATCAATTCTAGCACTTGTTGTTGTTGCCCTGCTGGTTGGAGATTCCTACATTGTCTTGACATTCTCACACTTTAATTAGATCCCTTATTTGTGTCTTGATAAAGATAACTTCCGTTTGAGCTTCGAATATAAGTTTTAATTATTACAAAGTTACGAGTTCGAGTTCTTCACTTAAACACCGCTCACTAAAAAGCACGTCTGCACTCGTTGTCGGCCCGAAGTCGAATCCACCAATGAAGGTGCACGTCCACTTCTCTGGGATAAAATATCAAAATCACATCACAAAAGCAAAAGTTGAATAGTATTATTATTGCCGACCCTTGCGGCGCAGTTCAGTTGAAACTGGACTGTGGTGCTAAGGGTCCCTGGTTCGAATCCGGGTTCGGGCATGGTGATTTGTAAATGTATAGTGGGTTGGGTTGGTAGA